ATCCTTGATGGGTTCTTGGAGATAACTTGAATTTTTGCAAAGTCTGGATCAAAAAATTAACAAGATTTTGTCTGAGTCTGAAAGGATTTTGCTGCTATAAATTTTGTCTACACAATTTGTTTTGGGCATGTTTGCCATTTTGAATACTGGATTTGTTCAATTGCTGGTGTAAGACAAGATTCTAAGTTTCTGCTTCCTACTGAGGAAGGTCTGTTATGGAAAGCACTCTTTAGGGTGCATCATGTAACTGTATCAGGTTTTCATACCTGTGTTGTGTTGCCCCTCCCTAGTGTGGGGAGGTGTAATCTGTGCTTAGATGTTTTACTCTGCTCTTTCAGCTTCTGTCCCAGAGTGGCTAACAGAAGTAAGGAGATGACTCCTTTAATTGAAAGTTAATTACTGATAATTTGATTTGATTTTTCAGGTTCTATTCCAGGAAACCCAAGGAGTGCCTGCTTGGTGGCTAACAAGAGATGACTCCTTTTGCTTGAAAGTTAACTGTTACTTTTATTCTTTCAGTTGCTGTACAGAATACCCCAGGATTGACTTCTAATAAAAAGTCTTCAACACTGAAAACCCTAAGGTGATAAACAAGGTCATGTAACTCTTGTGATTAATAAAACTTTTCCTTCCTATTTCCAAAGTCTTAGGTTTGCAGGATGACAACTGGAAATTTTCTGCCAGCAACACTCCACATTTTTTTTTGGACTTTGACATTTTTTTTTCTGAGCCTATGGAGTAAAACTGCAGTTACATAACATATTCTACGTGGCATAACTAAAAAAAAACTGTCTTTGTCTATACGTTGTATGTCTGTATGTCCTTGTGTCTAACTGTCTTGACCTCCAGTGATCGACAAATTGGTATACATGGTGCCCATAGACGTTGAAAAAAAAAAAAAAGTCTCCGGTTATGAAAAACAAAAAGTTATGGTTTGATTGTCAACATTGTGCTACTGAACTAAGCCGGTGCCTTCATAGAGATTGAATATTGTTGTTTCTGTTAATTTTCTGATATTTATGGCAAAGCTTCCAGAAATCTAAATTCAAGTACAAATTTGGTGGCCTGTCATTTGACTGATGCAAGGAAATTTTGTGGAACCTCAGTAGAGCTCCTGAGACACTCCACGAAGTTTCTCCTTTTCCTCCTGGGAAAGCATTACATGAATTTGTTCTATTTGGCTTTTACCTAATGAAGTAAACTGGAAGGGAAGCATTGTCACTGGGGAAATGGTAAAAAACTTTGGTATGTCCAATATGTTAACAGTAGTATCGGGTATGTATGTAAATTGTCAGTGGTGATTGTCACCTTGTAATATTGTATAATTCAATTGTTTCACATCTACAGAAATTGTTTCTGGAAATATAGGGAGAAAAGGTCTCAACAGATTCCTATTGATGGAACTGTTGAGAGTAAAACTTTCTTACAAAGGACTCAATAGACCTGGAAATACACCTGACATTTACTAAGGTTTCTTTGACATAATACTGGAACTTTTTTTTTTATGCATTCTGTCCTGAATCCACGAAATTTTTGTTTTGTTTGTTTTGTTTTGACTAACCAGGATCTGCAGAAAGGTTTAATTTTTTCCAGCAAAGCTAACTTGTCACATTTTCTCTCCCCTTGATACCAACACAGCATACAATAGTGGTAGTAATTTTTGCTACTTATTTCAGAGTCTGTTTTTGCATAACTTCCATAGGGATTTGTCTGTTTTAACGAAAATTGGACGTGAGTTTGATTGTGTGGCTTTGTGTGTGAGTTCTTCCATAGATATGGTGGAATAAAATTAAAGGGGGATTGTAACAGGGTGGTTCCCAGGAAAGGGGAAGTTCCAGGTTCCCTGCCCCACCCAAGGGAGGATGGAGCTGAGCAGGAAGAGAGAAGCGGCAGAAGAGACTGAGGAAGGAAGCAGGATGGAGCCAGGAGACCTGGAGGAGGCGCATGGAGCCTAGAGACACATAAAGAAACTGCGCTTGTCTTTTGGTCGTGGACTGGGTGACACAAATGTGGGTGAGACCTGTGGGGAGTTGACAATGGCAGCTTTTATCTTGATGTTGATTTTGCTCTTTTCCTTCCGGGCTTGTCCGGTTGTTTGTGACCCTTTTCTGTGGGTCCCCACTGGAAGATGCTTTAGACTTGTAGCAGGCTTTGGGGCCTTGTTCTGGGCCAATCCCATATGGATGGGACTTTACCCACGAGGGACGGGTAACTTTGGGTGCTTCATTTAGAAACTAGACTCTTTGCCTTACCTGTATTGTTTCCTAGTTTTGTGTTGATGCGGCGGATGGCAGAACCCATTTAGTATAGGCAGGTTTGCGGGGCTTGGGCTACCCCTCTCCCTGTCCTATAACAGTTTCTTCATTTTCCTGCCATACCCAAAGTCTAAGCCTGCATTTTCTTTATGCACAACCAATTTTAAGTCTGCTAATTCACCTCCCTTCTCATAACTCCTTTTTTTGTTCAACAATTGTCATACTGTGGCAATGGTGAGGGTAGGAACTGGGGAGTATATAAATAAATATCAAACAAGGCCTGTTCTCCAGGCACAACTTAGTTGGGAATTTGACACATGTATATGATTCATCACAATACTCAGCAGCATATATACAAGGGCCTCAAATGTCATTGAGAATTCTAAGCAATGGGTAAGGCGTCCCAAAACACAGCCTATACAGTCCCTCATACACTATTCTCACCCTTTCTTCCTATACTCTTCGTTCATCTTACTGACTAAAACCTAGGGTTAAACTGCCCATCTCATGTGCTGACTACAGCATCTCCAATTTCTCTCCAACTTGCTTCCCAAGCTAATCAAGACAATCTTGCTGTAACCTGGAAGTAACTTATTCATGGGTAATTTTGTTCATAATTGGCTATCTATGAGCACAAACCCAACAACTTTCTTTCTGCTAATTCATATCTACCACCAATTTAGTCTCTTACTTTGTTGGTACTGGTATGTAACTATATGTATTATTATCGGCTTCTGAGCGGACTTATTTCTTTTGTTTTTGTCTCACAGAGTCTGTCAGAGTCCTTCCTGAGAGTGTTTATCACAATCACCTATGGGGCTTATTAAAAATACAAAGACCCCTGGAGAGCTCCTCAGCAACTTCAGGGTGGGGGCTGAACATCTTTATTTCTAAAATGTCCCACTGTTGATTCTGATGCACACCCCAAGCTGAGAACAACACCCCAAGCTGAGGGAGCTTACTGCAAAGCTCCCTATACAGCAAACATTCAATTCTTATTAATTCATGGCATTGAAGCTAATAAATAACATTTCTCTACACAGCCTACCCAGATAGCAATCCCTAAACTAGGCTAGTTCTGCTCCAAGTGCAACATGTGGTTTTAAGACTTCATTTCCTGAAGTACTCCATGGAGGGACACTATTACCTTGTCTCTTTACATTGTTTCCTATTTGTTGAGAAATGGAGGCCTGGAATGCAGCCATGTTAGACAACACTACATAAGAATGTACTCTGGAGTCTTAGATTTAAATGAATTACAAAAAGAACAAGAACAATGTGGAACCAGACATTTTGAACACATCATTATTCCTAGGGAATAGGTTTTTACTAAGTCTATAGAGAAGGCAGATTTGGAATTTGGTCAGTAGTGTCTTCCTGTTTTCCTAGCTACCAGTCTCCTAACTGCCTGAGACAGTTCAGAGGTCCCTGAAGACTAAGGAAGACTTTCAGCTGCCCAAGTGCCTCTAGTGCATTCAAGTGCTCTAATCAGATAAGTAACCCAAGCCCCACCCAGATCTACAGTTGCCTCCCAACAACCCTGACAGACACTATTTACACAGCTCTGTGGGGGAGCAGTATGAACTTTTTCCAGAGTTGCTCCTCACAAGCAGCAGCAGTCTGAGTCACCCACCGTGGATGGAAAAGAAATGTGTGATATTAGCTAGGGGCGTTCGGAGATAGATCACAGCACCTTTTTTTCCCATTTCAGAAGTGGGCTCTGCCTCCTCCAGGAGCCACCTCAGTTGATTAGTCACAGCTGTGGGTTACAGGAATCTGCAGAGCCCCTTAGCCACCCAGCAAAGTTGTGAATTGGGGAAAAGACGCCAGATCTTTCCCTTCAGCAGGAGCCCGCGGGTCCCAGATTCCACAGGCCTCTCCCAGCAGCTCCATCTTGCTTCCTGCCAGGAGGAGGGGCTGAAGAGGAGGGCCCGAGAGTCTGGAAAGACCCCAGTGGAAGGAAGCCGCTTGACAGCAGGTAAAGCCAGGTGGCAATCTCCACGAGAGGGAAGAAAATGAACAGCAGTGGGATTAAAGGAAAGCGGGAAAGGAACTCGCCGTCATGAATTACAGCATAAAGAAATTCTCCAGTGTTTCAGGGTGCCGGAGGTGTAAGCAGAAGTAGAATGCCCAGGAAGGGAGGAGACAGACAGGCGAGTGACTGGCGAGTTAGACAAGCGGACAGAAGGGCCTGACGCGGGAGAGCTGACGGGTGAGGCAAGTGTCAGGGTGTGGGGGCAGAAGTATTAGAAGGAAGAATGTGGCTCAAATAAAAAATCCCTGAAAGGAATCAGTCGGAGAGCCCGCCGGCTCACTGGCCAGACTAGGGAAAGCTGCAAAGGAGCCTACAGCAAGGCTGTCAACGTGGACAGACAGCACGCTGAGGGGAAGGAGCAGCACGCATCCCCACAACTGCGGTTAACTGAGCACCTACTGTGGGCCAGGCACTGCACTAGGCACTTCACAACTACCACCTCGCGGAATCTTCTCAACGACCCGCAAAGCAGGCATGGTTATGACTGCCCCCACTTCACAGGTGAGGAAACTGAGGCCCAGAGAGTCTCAGGAGCCCGCTCAAGGTCACAGTGCGAGCGAGGGAGTCAGGATTTGAACCCTTGGCCATCTGGCTCCGAAGCCCACGCGCAAAGACACTGGCAGCCGGAGGGTGAAGGGGCGCGACGTGGCGGCCCCGGACCCCTGGGGTGTCTCCGCCCCCGCTCCACACCTCAGGCCCGGCGCACTCACCCGGACGAGATTGCTGACGGCTGCCTGCACGGCGGCCACGGGCGCGGTGAGGTCAGGAATGGCTTTGCCGTCCACCTCGCCCTCCTCGTGCATGATCACCAGGTGCGAGATCTGCTGCGCCACTGGCTCCAGGATGCTCTCGATGGTGCGCGTGTGAAACACCGGCATCGCGGCGGCTAGCGGGGCGGCGAACCGCGGGCTACACAGAACAGGGAACCGCGCGGCCGGCAAACCGCTGAGAGACTCCAAGAGAGACTCTCGAGTCAGGGCTTCCCCTGGCGTAACGAGCCTCTAGGGTGCCCCGCCTCCTCGGCTCGCCGTGCCCAATGACAGCGCCGCTGAGACACTGGGCACCACTCCTATTGGGCCTAGTGCTATATGCCCCGCCGCCGCGCCGCCAAGAGCCCGCCCGCCCCCATTCCCAAGGGAGGGGCCTGGGATTGGGGCTGCGCCGCAGGGATAGCGACCAGATTCCCGAGCTCAACGCCGGGCGCTCCTTATAAGGGCATGGTGGTGGGAGCGAGCGTGCGGTTGGAGTCGGTGGCCCCGCCCCCGGGGACCGCCTCCCGCCCCGGCGGAGCTCCGCCCCTCCGCAGAATCACCTCAGCGGGGCGGGGGCTCCTCACCTCTGGCAACGCTGAGTTTGAGGAGACCGAGAGGCCAGACGTCTCCCCACCTCCTCAACTTTAGCCGTCACAGAAGGCCCACAAAATACTTTTTCAGTTTCCTCTGAGGGATCCAGCAAAACGTTTTTGATAAAACATTCAAACAAGTGCATAGAGAAACATGAAATTCCCATTCATTCACACGCGCTCCACTATTTCTCCTGGGAGAGACACAGTGACAGTAACCATTTTCCGTACATATATATTTTCTAGATAAAAGGGATTAAACATTTTCCTGGAATTTTATATTTTCTCCTTAAAATTCCCTGGTTATCTTTCACTATAGAAAATACAGGTGTAAAAAGAAAAAGAAAATACAGGTGGATCTCCTTTTTCATGGCTGCTGGTAGTCCACGGTATGCATTCACACTTATAGAGCCATTTTCCTAATAATGGACATTTACATTGCAAAATCCAATGTAGGTTTTTGTGTTCCACTGTTAAAAATCAATTCTGCAGGAACATTAGGTCCTTGCATCTGCGTTGTGCACCTCTGTATTTAGATAGGAAGTGAAAATGCCAAAGTATTTACATTTTACATTTTTTTTTAATTTATTTATTTATGCATACAAGAGCTGGGGTACAGGCCAGAGATGCAAGGGGTGAGAGAATTCATCAGACACAGAGCGGGGAGCAGAACAGATGGATTGACTGAAATACACAGCTGAGGGGAGCAGCAGGCAAGACAGGAGAGGTCTGCTTCGTCATGTGGGTTGCTCTCTTGTGGGCTGGGGATCCAACTTGTGCTGCAGAGGCTGTGGATTTTTTCATAGTGCGCTGCTTAACCCCTTGCACCACCAGGGAGGCCCACATTTTACATTTTCATAAATAATACTAAACTACCAAATCCTCTCACAGCATGCTTTGTGGAAGGCATATTATAAATGTATTCACCTTAAATTCTCTTTTGATCAAGCTTCCCCATTTCAAGAGGAAAACATTTTCACTAATGTCTTCAAGCACTAGATGCCCAAGTCAATGAAAATATTTTTCTAGATCCCACATTTTGCAAGAAGTTAAACTATGTGTGTTTCCCTATGCAATTTTTGAAGCTAACTTTGTCCAGCAATGTATATCCCGTTTCTTCTGTGCATATTGCCAAATCCTGCATCTTTCCTTTTCTTAATATTGTCAGTTTTTTTTTTGTTACTACTTTTATCTCCTTATAGGCATTTCTATAGTTCTCTATTTTACATTAACATTTGGTATTTTCTAAGATCCAGGCACTATGAAAGTTCTTATTTAAATTGGTCACATGCAATATATACTATTTTATTCTCCCCCATTTTTCAGATCAAGAAACTGAAGTTCTGCAGTTTGTCTAAGATTATACTCAATTTGTCAAGCCCAGCACAAAATAAAACACAAATTCCCCTGTTCATAAAAGCAGGGAAAAGGGCTTTTAAAAGTAATAACATGTGGGCCTCCCGGTGGCGCAGCAGTTGAGCGCGGGTTGCGAATGCCACGGCCTCTGCGGCGCCGGTTCGAAGGAGTACATGGCGCGCAGACCTCTCCTGCCGCCCGCTCAGCAGTGTACTTCGGTCCTTCTGCCTGCTCTGCTCCCCGCTCTGGCTCTGGTAATTCTCTCACCCTTTCTGACTGTACCCAGGATGTATAAAACAAAAACAAACTAAATAAACATGCCTCTATAAAAGTAATAACATGTAAAATTTGTTGCCAACTTTCATAGTATTTTTTTCTTTGCTATTTAATGTTGTACTCCCTGGGCAGGACAAATCCTTTGGTGATATGCAGACCACCCCCAACAGAAACCTACCAGTTAACTGGAGCCCCCTCCTGCCAGCTGCTGGACTGACTAGGGGCAAGAAGCCCTTTCCACAGGCTTGCCTTCCCCAACCCATAAATGGGTAACCTCAAAAGGTTTTTGCAACCTGTGCACTGAGAGTCGCTCAATAATTCGATCAAGGGAAGGCAAGAGACTACCACCACTGAGTCAACTGCAAACATGCTCTGGCACTGTCATGGTCCTGCTTTATCTGTTGACACCATGAGGAGCACACACAAAAGTGGAGCAGAGAGCAACTGTGGTCACTCCCACAGGGGCAAGGATGGGAAGGCTGAGCAGGGTTAGGGGCCAGAAGTTGGAGCAGCAGACAGCTGAGAACCCATTCAAGGGAGGTGATAGGAGGCAGAACTATACAAATACCGAAACCCTAAGCCTTTGGTGCATGACCCATTGTTCCCTTAGATTTTTCCTATAAAATACACACTCAGGGCCTCCCTGGTGGTGCAGAGGGTTGAGGGCAGGGCTGTGAAGCTGTCCGCAGCCTCTGTAGCATGGGTTCGATACCCAGCTGGCCAGGGAAATACCCACATGGCGAGGCAGGCCTCTCCTGTCTTGCCCACTGCTACACTCCCCGCTCTGTCTCCTGTGAATCCACTCAACCTCCTGCACCTCTGGCCTGTATCCCAGTTCTTGTATGCATAAATAAATAAATCTTTAACAAAAATACACACTCAAAGATAATGTTATTAAGAATCAAGTCAGTGACTGCAAAATGTTAGACCCTTAATGGGAAGTTCTTCTTAGTGCAGGCTCAACGCGATTGCACTGATTGATCACGAATGAACATGACCCTAGTTACACAGTTAGCTAAGATCTGACCATGACTGCCTCTTAATTACTAAACAACTCCCTAGAAACTCCCATTCCTTATGGAGACTCTCATCATTTTTTGTCTAGTCCTACCACGATTCCCACAGCTGTTTTCTCTGCTCATTATTTCATACTAATAATAGTAACATTGGGTGATGGAACTATATATAATTTCCCCCTGCAATTCTCACTCTGCCTCCACTTTGCTAATTGTATTCTTATATGCAGTTTAACATGTTCTTCTGTCCCTTGAATTTCCTGAAAATTAACTTCATCATACAATAAATAGTCTTTTAGCTGTAACACATCATCTCTGACTCCAATCTTGTAATCCAGGCTACTCTTGACTAGTCAGGCTAACCTTCCTAAAATACCACATTGGATATCCAGTCCACATGCTCCCCTCTACCACATATATATCCACTTCTGTCCCCGCTTTCTACCTTTAAAATCTTCCATCGCATCCGTTAACTTATGTTAACATCAATGCCCTGAACAGCCTTGGCCCGGATCAATCTACCTCCTTCCACGTCCCCACCCTGACCCATACACAGATGGGTTAAACAGTTCAAAGAGCACATATTTGGAACCATACCCTAGCTTTGCAACATGATTGGTATAGAACTCTGGCAAGTAGTCTTTCTTGAATTTTTTTCTTTGTAAATGTAGAATAATACTTCCCTCAAAGTATGGGTGTAGTATTGGTGAATCTATTTGAGTAAAGCACCCAAGAGATCTTCAGTAAAGGGGAGCTATTATTATTGTTATTATTACTGAAACTCTCACAAACAGATATTCACAGTCTTCAAAAATCTCTGGTAGAATTTCGCTTTTGATCTTTACCTACATTTCTTTCCAACCTGGAAGGTCTCACTGCTTGTCTAAGGTTTATCCACTGTGGTAGGTAAAATACTAAGATGTCCACCTATATCTCACACCCTTCATACTATCCCAGAACTGTAAATATAATGAACTTCACTTCCATGATTAGGTGTTGTATCACACAATTGATCTTTAGGTAACAAGAAAATCCATGTAGACCTGATAGAATCACGTGAGCCCCTTGAAAGCAGAGAATTTTCTCCAGTTGGTCACTGAAAAGGAAGTTAAAAATTAAAAGCACAAAAAGGACTTGATGAGTTGTTGCTGGATGAGTTGTTGTTGCAAGAGGCCACATGTCGGGCTTCCCCTGTGGCGCAGCAGTTGAGCGCTGGGTTGCAAAGCTGCCTGCAGCCTCTACAGAGCCGGTTCGATCCCTGGCCGCTAGAGGGTCCCACATGGCGTGCAGACCTCTCCTGCCGCCGCTGCTCCCCTCAGCAGTGTATTTTGTCAGTCTGCCTGTTCTGCTCCCTACTCTGGCCCCGATGAATTCTCTTACCCTCCCGCGCTTCTGACTGTACCCAGTGCTTGTATAAATAAATAAATAAATATTTAAAAAAAAAAAAAAGAAGGCCACACGTCAAGGAATGCTGGCAGCCTCTGGAAGCTAAGAGTGGCCCCAAACTGACTGAAAGCAAAGAAAAACAGTGACCTCATTTAGTAACATCAAGAACTCATTGAACTATGGGGACCACGTTGACGTAAGAAAAAAATTTAATTAATTTAAAAAAGAGCTCATTTCTACCAAAAAGAATGACATAGGAAGCAGATTTTTCCCTAGAGCCTCCAGATGAGAGCTCAAGCCAATCAACACCTTCATTTTAGCTTTATGGTATTAAGCAGGGAACCCAGTCATAGCATTCAGGACTTCTGACCTATTCAATTGTGACATAATACATTTGTGGTAATTTATCACAAAGCAATACAATATAATGTGCCTACTTACAAGGTCCACTTCTTCTAGTCCTTTCTTTGAGATTTCCCACTACATGACCCTGGCCTAAGGTGTTTATACCAACCCTTTCTCCATCATGGCACTTCTAATTGTCCTTTCATTGCATTGACCATTTTATATTTCTCTCCTGTCTATGGCAGAGGCTGCTAGATGTCCC